ATAATGTTCGTGATACTATCTTGACTAGTGGGGAGCCTGATCTATCCATGACGTATCAGCGTCTTCTGAATTTGAATAAGAAATCTGCTCCTGCATCGTCTTCTGCTGTTGATTCTACTGCTCTAGTTTCCCGTACTGATTTTCGCGGGCATATTGGAGGTGGACGTGGTCGTGGTAGAGGCCCAGGAGGCCGGGGCCCAGGAGGCCCAGGAGGACGTAGCCCAGGAGGTCGTGGCCCAGGAGGCCCAGGAGGTCCAGTCGGACGTGGTCAGCGACCTCGTTGTCATTACTGTCAGCAACTTGGTCATTATGAGGAACGCTGCTACACCAAGTATCCTCACATGCGACCTTCTTTTGCTGCTAATGTAGCTCAATCGGATACTGCTTCAAATGGTTCAGTCTCTCTCTCCTCTGAAGAATATGCAGCATTCCAGGCCCTTCTCAGGAAGTCCTCTCCTCAATCTCAGGCCTCTGCTTCAGAAACTGGTAATCCTGTTGCTTGTGTTTCTCATTCTGCATCACTTGGTCCTTGGATATTTGACTCAGGTGCTACTGATCACCTCTGTGGTAATAAGGAACTCTTTTCTTCCCTTACATATTCTAATAATTTACCCTCTTTTACTCTTGCTGATGGAACTAAGGCCCCCGTTCATGGGATTGGACAAATCTGTCCAACCTCCTCATTGACCTTGACATCTGTCTATTACATTCCTCACATCCCTTATAATTTAATATCGGTTAGTAAATTGATCAATTCTCTTAATTGTATTGTCACATTCTCAAACCATTCTGTTTCTGTGCAGGACCCGGGTACGGGGAAGATGATTGGAGTGGGCCGTGAGTCACGGGGTCTGTTCTACCTTGATGTGCCGAGTCCTTCAGTTGCTTGTTCTCTCACAGAATCTCCACAGCTCATCCACAGTCGTCTCGGGCATCCTAGTCTTGCGAAATTGCAGAAGATGGTTCCTCTTTTATCCGGTCTTCAAACTTTAGATTGTCAGTCATGTCAGCAAGGAAAGCACATACGCTCCTCCTTTGCTAATCGAGTCAATAAACGAGCTGATGCTCCTTTTTCAATTATTCATTCAGATGTTTGGGGTCCTAGTCGTAGTGTGTCTATTTTAGGTTTTCGGTATTTTGTCACCTTTATTGATGATTTCTCCCGTTGTACTTGGATTTATTTAATGAAAAACCGTTCTGAGTTGTTTTCTATTTATCAAAAGTTTTCTGCTGAAATTCATACTCAATTTGGTGCTTCTATTCGTATTTTACGTAGTGATAATGCTAAGGAGTATGTTTCTGTTGACTTTTCTCACTTCTTAGCCACACAGGGTACTTTACACCAAACCACTTGTCCTCACACTCCACAACAAAATGGAGTAGCTGAACGTAAGAATAGACATCTCATTGAGATTGCCAGGACTCTTCTTATTCACATGCATGTTCCTCTTCACTTCTGGGCTGATGCAGTCCTTGCTTCTTGCTTTCTCATCAACCGCATGCCTTCATCTGTGCTTAATAATGATATTCCTCATAACTTATTGTTTCCAGATGTTCCTCTCTTTCCTCTATCCCCACATGTTTTTGGTTGTACCTGTTTTGTTCATGATCTCACTCCTGGTAAGGATAAGTTAACATCCAAAGCCTTTAAATGCATTTTTCTTGGTTATTCTCGTCTTCAAAAGGGTTATCGTTGTTACTCTCCTGACCTCAAGCGTTACTTAGTTTCCGCGGATGTCACCTTTTTTGATCAACAACCCTTTAATTCTATCCCATCTCCATTGTCACAGGTTGATCATGTTCTTCCTGTTCCTTTTCTTGACTTGTCTTTGCCAGATGCAGGTGCTTCTACTCCAGATAAGCAATCACCTATTGCTCCAGTACCTAAGGACCGTCCACTTCTCACTTATCAGCGTCGTAAGACAGTACCTCCAGTCGACTCGACCCCTGCTGACTCATTGCCCTCTGCAGTTGATTCTTCCCCTCCGGATCCTTCACCAGAGGCTCTTCCCATTGCTCAAAGAAAAGGTACACGTACTACTCGTAACCCTTATCCTCTTTATACCTTCTTGAGCTATGATCGCCTTTCTCCTCCTCATTTCACCTTTGTTTCTAGTCTTTCTTCTGTTCCTATTCCTAAGACCACAGGTGAAGCACTTTCCCATCCAGGATGGCGCCAAGCGATGCTTGATGAGATGACCGCACTTCATACCAATGGCACTTGGGACCTTGTTTCTGCTCCTCCAGAGAAGTCTATAGTTGGTTGTCGCTGGGTGTTTACTGTGAAAGTTGGACCTGATGGCCATGTTGATCGTCTCAAGGCACGCCTAGTTGCCAAGGGTTTTACTCAAATCTTTGGCCTTGATTATAGCGATACATTCTCTCCAGTCGCTAAGATGGCTTCCGTCCGCCTATTTCTTGCCCTTGCTGCTGTTCGTCACTGGCCACTCCTTCAACTTGACATCAAAAAATGCCTTTCTTCATGGTGATTTACAAGAAGAAGTTTACATGGAGCAACCACCTGGTTTTGTTGCTCAGGGGGAGTCTGGGAAGGTATGTCGTCTTCGAAAATCCTTATATGGTCTCAAGCAGTCTCCTCGAGCATGGTTCAGTCGCTTCAGTTCTGCTGTACAGGCGTTTGGCCTAATTCGCAGTAAAGTTGACCATTATGTATTCTATAGGATTACATCTCCTAACAAGTGCATCTATTTGTTAGTCTATGTTGATGACATCATCCTCACCGGAAGTGATCAAGACGGAATCCATCAGTTAAAACAACATTTATTCAGTGCATTTCAAACAAAGGACCTTGGGAAGCTGCGTTACTTCTTGGGAATTGAGGTGGCGCAATCTAGACAGGGCATTTCTATCTGTCAAAGGAAGTATGCCTTGGATATCCTAGAGGAGACTGGTATGTTGGGGTGTAAACCAGTTGATACACCCATGGATCCTAATGTTAAGTTATTTCCCAGACAGGGGGAGCTATTATCTGATCCTGGACGTTATCGAAGGCTGATTGGGAAGCTCAATTATCTTACTGTGACTAGGCCAGATATTTCTTTCGCTGTCAGTACGGCCAGTCAGTTCCTTGATTCCCCTTGTGATTCACATTGGGATGCTGCTGTGAGGATCCTCCGATACATCAAAGGAGCACCAGGAAAATGTTTGTTGTATTCGGATCAGGGAAATACAGAAATTTGTGGTTACTCAGATGCCGATTGGGCAGGATCACCCTCGGACAGACGCTCTACTTCTGGTTATTGTGTCTTCTTCGGAGGAAACTTAATCTCATGGAAAAGCAAGAAACAACCTGTTGTTTCTCGATCTAGTGCAGAAGCTGAGTATCGTGCAATGGCAAATACTACCTGTGAGTTGATCTGGTTAAAGCAGTTGATTCAGGAGCTTCATCTTTGTGAACAGAAACAACCCATGACACTCATCTGTGATAATCAAGCTGCGCTACATATATCCTCTAATCCTGTTTTTCATGAGAGGACCAAACATATAGAGATTGATTGTCACTTCATTTGGGAAAAGATTCAGTCAGGAGAAATCAAGACAGCTTTTGTCAACTCGTCTAATCAACTAGCAGATGTTTTCACTAAAGCTCTTAGAGGTCCTCGGGTTGAATACATTTGTAACAAGTTTGGTGCTCATAATATATACGCACCAGCTTGAGGGGGAGTGTTAGAATATTAGATATGATATGATTAGATTTGATTAGATATGATTGGATTCTGTCTTATCCGTAAATAGTCTGACTGTATTCTGACTGTATTAGGATTAGGTTTGGATTAGGTTTGGGCCTTACACTTAAGCCCATTAGGGTCTCTATATATTGTAACTCCCTGACACAGATCAATACACAACGTATTCTTTTACATTTAACTGGAACCTTGGGCATCTTAGGGTGATTTGGGAGAGACTAGGGGCTCTAGAATTCCTCTAGAACTTTAGCTTTTTTGGTTAGGATCAGTCACTGTAATTTGTCTTTCTAATTGTCTTCTGTTTCGTTGTACTCTTTTATTCAGCATTTTGGATTGTAATTTCGTTCCCATATTATACAGAAATCCTAGAAAATGTTCTTCTGGGCCAAAAAGTGTTATTCTCCTTTCTGTTATTGTTAGTCTCTGATCCGGTTCTTATCAGTTTACCTAACTTAATTAATTTGAGCTTCTGAAAAGGTTATTTCAGTCTAAAACCTAGTTTTATAAGCCTTAGCCAAACATGTGACATCCAAACTTGTACAATTCTACTTGTCCTCATCTTTAAATCTTCTTAGTCAATGATTACTAAAGTAAGATAGCATTTACCACCTTAGTTCCTCCTCTCCTAATTCAATGTGTTGTTGGTACGGTGATTACACAGTTTTTAGCTGGTAGCTGTAATAATTTGTAGAATATTATATAATGTGAGAGTGGCATAGGATGACTGAATTTGTCTTTTGTTATAATATTCTTTAATGAGTTTATAGAACTTGTTGAGATATATAGTCCCACATTGGTTGTATGAGCAACTAATGTGACCTTTATAAGGTCTTGGGCACTCTCACACTTTGAGCTAGCTTTTGGGGTAGTGTATCACAAGATTCTTTACATGGTATCAAAGTCTCGTGTCCCGGGTTCAAACCTCGCCGCCCCCCCCTTTCTCTTGTGGAATTTCTTAACACAGGTAGGCTGGGCCTGTTGCATCATCCACTCTTCAAGCCCAATGGGCTCTCGTGTGAGGGGGTGTGTCGAATAATAGACCCACATTGGTTGTATGGTCAACTAATATGACCTTTATAAGGTCTTGGGCACTTCCACCCTTTGAGCTAGCTTTTGGGGTGGTGTATCCCAAGGTTATTTACAGAACTACTTATATATTCTGAGCGAAGGCCTAGGAACACTATTTATTGAATTGGGATTAAAAACATTCTCTCATTTATTTTGTTGTTACTGCTTTTGATTATTATTTGGTCTTTGTGTTTTCACTAACATTTTGATTCACCCATTTGTTAGATGATTACATTACCCTCTTCTTCTACTTTGTATGATTTAAAAAGGACGTCCCGCATGGCAATATACGGGTTGCTAATCTTGGGGCCATCACAGCATGTGTGGTTTAATTTTCTGTCCAAAATTTTCCCAAACAGAGACATTCCAACAACCTTGAAGAAAATTTTCATGGGGCAAGCTGTATTTGGTCCTGCGATCAATACTATTTTCTTCTCCTATAATGGTGCTGTACAAGGTAATTTTTAACATTTTAATTGGTGACCTGTTCTTAAATATTCAATGCCACTAGTTTATATGACAGTTCACTGACATGGGTAGTTAGTTGATTAAGATAGTATTTTACTCTCGTGGTCTGTTTCTGTTGTTAGTTTTCACATGATTCTATACAAACTCAGGGGTAGGGAACTTGAGCCGTTTAACCATGGGCGTGATCTATATACCCTATGTCTGATGGCTATTAGACTCTAAACTGATATCATGAAGATTATCTCCATGCATCATTTGGCTTCTTAAGCTGAGCTTGTTAAAATCAACTATATTTATGGATAAGTGTATGGTTTTATTAGCCTCATTCTTTGCAAAAGCCCTAAGGTTATGGATGATTCTGAGTTACCGTTTTGATGCCAATATCAGGTGAAAGTGGGCCTGAAATTATTGCCAGGTTGAAGCGAGATCTACTTCCTACATTATTAGGTGGTGCTCTGTATTGGCCTATATGTGATTTTGTCACCTTCAAATACATTCCAGTCCATTTACAGGTTTGAAAATGTGGATAAAATCTTTGTTGAATTAATTTTCTGTTTTAATTTATTTTTAATCAGTAGCTACAACTCAGCAGTTGCTTTCTAGCTTTTTAGTTAGCTAACTTTATCTCTTTTACAATTGCTGCAGCCATTGCTGAATAGTTCCTGCGCATATATGTGGACCATTTATTTAACATATATGGCAAACCGAAAAAATGTGAGCGATGCTTAGAGCTTGGTTTGTATATTTGTAGATTTAGTATTCTCAAGTAATTTCTCATTGCTTAGCATATCTATCGGCGGAGATTTGTGACAAGAGATACAAAAATCTTTGTATTTGTACGTTTCTAGATTTCATATCAATTTGTTATTCAATTCGTTTTGTATATAGCTTATACTTCAGATTCTTAGTTTGTTCTTTCAGTTGAAGTGAATTTTTTGATAAAATGACGTGTTGTTAATAAATGCAGAGTTAAAGCATGCATCAAAGTAATGCTATGTTTACACTCTTAAATCACACTGTTTCTGTCCGTCACTGGAGGACTGAGACTTGGTTCAAATCATCCTCAGGTGAGTATGATACAGACCTCTCAATAATTAAATCAAATCACACAAGTAATTCTGAAAAAGAGACACAAATTGATATATTGATGGATCTGTATCTGTATTACACTATAGAATTCAAACACTCTGAAACAATTTACCGTATTCCACTCTTTATATCTCAAACAGCAAATTACATTTAAAGGAGAAGATAAAATAAGACAGAAGGAAACGATAATGAGGAGTATTCGAGAGACTCCACGCTCTCCCAAAGTTCCAGTCCAGAAAATGCTACTCGATACCCACCACAGCCCCATGCTTTCCTTCTTAACCAATTGGTGCCAGCTCCACATTCTGTTGGGGGTAAAATGGACATTTGCTGCTGAGTCAGCAGAGGCCTCAGCAGAGGCCCAAATTCTTCTATTTTTATCTCTTTTGTATACTTTAGTGTAGGGCTGTACATGGGTAAGGTCGGGTCAAGTTTTTGTCCGACTCGACCCAACTTGGTTTTTATAGGTCAAGTATTTTGACCCGACCCGCTTTAATTTGATCCAAGTCGAGTCTGACTTGGATTGGATTTTGTTGAACTAGTTCAGAACCAGTTTGGATCTGACCTGACTTGGTTTCTGAAGTGGGTCAAATCTGACCTGACCCGTTTTTGACTTGGTTTTCTCACAAAATTTTGTCAAAATTTTTACGTTGCAAAAGACGAAAATTTCGTCACAAAATTATTTTTTCGTCGAAATTTGTACAAAAAAAAATTTTCTATTGAAATTTAGTTTCCATCGATATTTTTTGATGACGCCAAAATTTGAAATCTGTAAAGAATTTTGATGAAATTTTTTGCCGTTGATATTTTTTGCCGTCAAAATTTTTTGATGACGAAAATTTTTCCGTCGAAAACTTTCGCCAAAATTTGAAATCTGTAAAGAATTTTGATAATTTTTTTGCCGTCAAAATCTTTTGATGACGAAAATATTTTCGTCGAAAACTTTCGCCAAAATTTGAAATCTGTAAAGAATTTTAACAAAATTTTTTGCCGTCAAAATTTTTTGATGATGAAAATATTTTCGTCGAAAACTTACGCCGAAAATTGAAATCTGTAAAGAATTTTGATGAAATTTTTTGCCGTCAAAATCTTTTGATGACGAAAATATTTCCGTCAAAAACTTTCGCCAAAATTTGAAATCTGTAAAGAATTTTAACGAAATTTTTTGCCGTCAAAATTTTTTGATGATGAAAATATTTCTGTCGAAAACTTACGCCGAAAATTGAAATCTGTAAAGAATTTTGATGAAATTTTTTGCCGTCGATATTTTTTGCCGTCAAAATTTTTTGATGACGAAAATGTTTCCTTCGAAAACTTTCGCCAAAATGTTAAATCTGTAAAGAATTTTGATGAAATTTTTTGCCGTCAAAATTTTTTGATGACGAAAATATTTCCGTCAAAAACTTTCGCCGAAATTTGAAATCTGTAAAGAATTTTAATGAAATTTTTTGCCGTTGAATTTTTTTTATGGAAATGTGTTTCGTCAAAATTTTCAATGGAAATTGTTTTGAGGAAAATGTTTCATTTGAAACTTTCGACGAAATTTAGATTCTCTAAAGAATTTAGACAAAATATTTTTTATGTCAAAATTTCTTATCGAAATATATTTGTCATAAAAATTTACGAATATTTTTTTACAAAAATGTGTTCCGTTGAAAATTTTGATGGATATATTCTTTAACAAAAAACTTGACGAAAATATTTAGTCGAAATTTTTTGATAGAAATGTGTTTCGCTAAAAAATTCGACGAATTTTTTTTTTGTCAAAAAGTTTAACGAAAATGTTTCCGTCGAAAACTTTCGCCGAAATTTGAAATCTGTAAAGAATTTTGATGAAATTTTTTTCGTCAAAGAATTTCGATGAAAATGTGTTTCGTCGAAAGTTTTTATGAATATATTTTTTTGTGAAATATTTTGACGAAATTTAAATTTCGTAAAAAAATTTGACAAAAAAAATATTCCGTCAAATTTTTTTACCGATATGTTTTTTAGTCACAAATTTTGATGAAAATATTTTTCGTCAAAAATTTTTGCGAAAATTTTTATGAAAATATTTTTCATAAAAAATTTTGACGTAATTGTTTTACGTTAAAACTTTTCTTTTAATGTGATTGTGATTTTTTTTTTCACATAATGGGTATGGGTCAAGTTTTGGGTCAGTGGGTCAATATTAAAACGAGTCAGGTCTAAAACTGATCCAAATAAAAATGGGTCAGTATTTAAACCAGTTCAAAAAATATGGGTATTTATGGGTCGGGTCAAGGTCGGATCAAGGGCAGGGCAAGTGAACCAGTTTTTTTGCACACCCCTACTTTAGTGGGCTGGGCTGTATCACAGTACCTCACACACTGTCGTCTAATAATTTCCCTATGGATAAGGTCGTCTAAGATGTTTGGCTGCAGGAATTCACCTGAAGAGTTAAGAGCTTAAGATTACTAAAACTGAAAATAAAAGCATGCAATCTTTCAGGTTTGTAGAGTGTTGTTACTTTATTTTTTTATTTTTGGTAATCAAAAGTGCAAAGCCCAAACAAAAGAAAACAAAGTCTAACAAGGAAGGGACACAGTACGTTGTTCCCTCCCAACGGACGCAAGGTCTGCCAAATAAAGTAAACGGATTCCTCCTGGTGGCTCCTCAAAGAAGATCTGATCAACTTGTTCAAATGGATTTAGTAAATAGTTGGCCATCCAATCACACGTATAGGAGATATAAGACGAATCTCACGGACTGCTACATCACATCTGGTTTGTCCAGTGATAGCTAATAACGAGTCATTTTCCAGAGTTATTTTCCTAAAACCAGCATTTCAAGCTTCCTCTAAACCATGCGAAATACCCTAGATTTCTACTTTGAATGCCAAACAGAACCCCAGCTTATAAGCAAACCCCGTCAACCAGATACCTTGTGAATTTCTGATCACACCCCAACATGTTGCTAAACCAGAATTTCAACCAGATACCTTGTGAATTTCTGATCACACCCCAACATGTTGCTAAACCAGAATTTTCACGCGCTGTTCCATTAGTATTAATCTTCACATAACCCTCACCAGGAAATTGTCAGGCTATATTAATTTGACTAAGCCTCGCTCTAGACTACAGCCCCTTACTAGCATACGCTTCCTTCTAGGGATGTTTGCGTTCTGGATTGGATCAGTTTTAGAAGCAAAAATCATTCGATCCAATCCTTTCGGTTTGATCATGTAATCATCTATTCGGTTTGGATTTTTTTCCAAATCCAATCCGATCCAATCCAATTTTTTTCAGTTTAGATTGGATCGATTTTCGGTTTTTGAAAATCCTAAAATTTGTTTCATGATTATTGTGCAAATAACATATTTTGTATATATTGGCTTTGTAATTTTTTTTTTAGAAATACAAAAGCATCAGTAAACGATAATATAGTTTTTTTTTTACTATAAGATATGAAGTTCTACATAGATGAAATTTTGTTAATGAGATGTGATTAGGTTTTTTCTTGGATTTAGTTGATGGATTAATGTGTCTTGGGTTTAGAAATTTTTGGGCTATGATTGGGGAAAAGGCCCAAGTAGGTAGAGAAAAATTAATATATTGGATCAGATTGGATTGGATCAACCAATCCAAAAATCGATCCAATCTAATTAAAATTTGCGGTTTTTTTCGGTTTTCGGTTTATTTGGTTATCGGTTTTTTGGTTCGGTTACCGCGATTTGAATTGGTTTGGATCAGTTGATGAACACTCCTACTTGCTTTACATCCATAGCTAGCCTCCTAATATGATTAATCTTGACCTCTGAGGGAGGCACCTCTTCACCCTGATTAACCTTATTCGTCCAATTCCAGATCTTCCAGCAAGCTGAGAGGAAGGTAGTTAACCAGCCATCCGGTACATCTTAGTTAATAGGTACCACAAAATTAGAAATAACCACGACGCTGTTTCCTGATTAAAAAAAGAGAAAAGTGTTTGATTTTTTAAATGATATAACTGGTGTCATTTCATTCTCTCCAAAGTGTAGGACCCACACCTTTATTTTTTTTTGTTCACTCTCTCCTCAATGATTTATTTATTTCTCTCACTTAAAATGACATAATTTTACATCTTTTAAAATGACACACTTTTTCCTTAAAAAAAAAAACTTGATACAAAGGTAGTAGGAATAAGAATCTCCCACACCCTTTTAGCACTTGTGCAATCCCTTAACGAATGCATTAATGATTTAGATTCCCTCTTACAGCACGTAGATAAATTATCAGCTCCACTCCATTGAGCAATTCTACATTTCGTTAGTAGGCGTTGATGCACCATCTTCCAAGCAAAAATTTTGATTTTCTGCGGACCATTCCAAGACCAAAGCCTCTTCCAGATTTTTAGATTATTCTCATCCGCTATAGCATGAACTGCGAGGCACCTATATATTGCTCCAATCGTGACTGATATGGTCAAATTTGCGTTGAGGAATCACATTTTAAAATTATTTCTTATATGGTCAAATTTGAAGTCATAATTAGTTCAAAAGAAAAAAAAGAATACAAAATGTATTTTTTAAGTTTTAAACATTGCGAGCTATTCTCCAATAGATCCACCCATTAGTCAGCTAAGACATCTCCATGTCTGTAGCTCACGAGGACTCTACCTTGCATCTCCATGCAAGTAGCTGAGTCGTGCTAGTCTTACCCGAGATCACCAATGCCCATTCTCCAATAGGTTCACCCACGAGTCAGCTAATTACAGTCGTTTGATGGACGGAAATCAACGGTTAAGATTGAGCGTAAGAGTTATTATTCTTACACTGGTGTAAGTTGATCCTGTTTCATATATATATATATATATATATATATATATATATATATATATATATATATGGACTTATTATTTTTCAAGATGCTTCAGATAACTTTATCTCCGACCATTAAATCATAACTGTACAAAGATGGATCAATGGTGATAAGAAGAGAGAGAAAAGAAGAATAATAACCATTCAAAGGTGAATCAATTAATATAAAGAAATAAAAAAACAAAATGACGAAATTTTTGAGTGACAGGAGATAAATATATCTCAAGCATTTTGAGAAATATTTTTCTTATATAAATATATACTATGAAGCACTGACACTTCAAAAATTCTGACGTGTCGTGTCCGACACTCCAATACTCGTTGCAAAGACTCAAAAAAGGTTCAAAGGTTGTTGCGTTGCATTTTGAGTTTCAACTATTAGATTCGTTAGATTATGATTAAGATTTTATTGAGTTTAATATAAACATTTGGGATATATTATGTTTCTTTGCAAATTGATGGGTATTATAAATTTAACTTTTTTTTTTAAATTATTGAATGCTAAATATAATATACACTACTTAAATTAAAAATATTGCACCGACATTTTAAAAATTCTGACGTGTCGTGTCCGACACTCCAGTACTTGTTGCAAAGACTCAAAAATGGTTCAAAGGTTACGTTGCGTTGCATTTTGAGTTCCAACTATTAGATTCGTTAGATTATGATTACGATTTTATTGAGTTTAATATACACATTTGGGATATAGTATGTTTTTTTGCAAAATTTAACTTTATTTTTTTGTTAAGTTATTGAATACTAAATATAATATACACTACTTAAATTAAAAATATTATATAATTTAAAAACATGTCTTAACATGTCGAAATTTAATATTTTTTAGAATTAACGTGTCGGAGTATCGTGTCATGTCGTATCTTGTGTCCCGTGTCAGTGTCGGTGCAACATAGTATATATATATATACATATATACATATACACATACATATATATATATATATACATATATATATATACACACATACATATATAGAGGCAGGATCGTTTGACACCGGTGTCAAATTTGAAGTTTGACACCTCATCTAAAAGTCGTTAGATCAAAAAAGATCAACGACTCTAAGGTGAGGTGTCAAATTTCAAATTTGACACTAGTGTCAAAGGATCCTCCCTTATATATATATATATATATATATATATATATATATATATATATATATATATTCCCCTTCTCAGTCGTTAGGGACGAAAATCAACAATTGTCATTTATAATGTAATTAATAATTAATTAATTAGTAGGATTTTCTAAACTATAACAGTTAGATAGGCGGAATCAACGGTTAAGATGGAGAGAAAAACTTATAAGTCTTATTTTGGAGTCAAAATATAATATATATATATATATATATATATATATATATATATATATATATATATATATATATATATAGGGCTAGGATCCTTTGACACCGGTGTCAAATTTAAAGTTTGACACTTTATCTAAGAGCCGTTAGATAAAAAAAGATCGACGACTCTGATTTGTAAGCGTGTGACACCATTGATCTTTTTTTATTTAACGGCTATCAGATGAAGTCTCAAACTTTAAATTTGACACGATTGTGTCAAAGGATCCTGCCACACACGTATATATATAGGGGCAGGATATTCTTACACCGGTGTAAGAGTTAGAAGTCTTATACTCAAAGATGACCATTGATCCACTTGTATCCATTCGCTCACATTACTAAAAAATTTGAGCCCTTAGATATAAGTGAGATTAACGGATAAGATTAAGAGTATAACTTACATTGGTGTAAAATATCATAACCCATATATATATATATATATATATATATATATATATATATATATATATATAGGATCCGTTTACAAACATTTTTTGCAAATTACACTAAGTATGACCGGTCGTACACTGCATGATTAAAGTATGACCGGTCGTACTTAGTGTAGTTTGTAAGAGTTTGTAAACAAAAAAGTTTGTAAATATAACTTGCCCATATATATATATATATATATATATATATATATATATATATATATATATATATATATATGAGAAAAATATTTCTCAAGCTGCTTGAGATATATTTATATCGGTCACCTCAAAACTACGTCATTTTGTTTATTATTTCCTTATATTAATTGATTAGCTTTTGAATGATTATGATTCATTTTTTCTCTCACTAACTTTATCTTCGGCTATTAAATCATAACCGTACAAAGATAGATCAATAGTGATAAAGGAAGAGAGAAAAAAAATGAATCATAATCATTCAAAGGCGAATCAATTAATATAAGGAAATAATAAATAAAATGATGTAATTTTGGGGTGACCGGAGATAATATATCTCAACTAAAGATATTTTTCTCATATATATATATATATATATATATATATATAGGAGAGAGATCATTTGACTCTATAAGTCTTACTCCCTATCCTAGCCGTTGATTTCCGTCCATCAACAGCTGAGATGGAGAGTAAGACTTAAAAGTCTTACTCTGGAGTCAAAAGAACCATCCTCATATATATATATATATATATATATATATATATATATATATATATATGGGGTTTGATTTTCTCTTGTTGCAGAAGAATTCAATTCTCATGTTGTGACTCAACTAGTGGTAGGCCCCACATTTATTAAAAAATAAAAAAGAAAAGAAATTTTTTGCACGCAAATTGAAAGATGACAAACATGAGAATTGAATTTCCATGCAACATGAGTAAATGTTTTTCCTCTCTGTGTCTCTCTCTCTCTCTCTCTATATATATATATATATATATATATATATATATATATATATATATATATATATATATATATGGCAAAAGTATTTCTACAATAACTTTAGATAAGCTTTTCTACAGCTGTCATTTTTAACTATATTCTCCCGGGGGAATACAATTATAACGTTAAAGTTGCTCTTTTTTTTTCTCTCCTCATTTACTTTTCAGAACTTTTTTGCTGACGTGGAGAGAGAGAAAAGAGCAACTTTAACGTTATAACTATATTCTCCTTGGAGAATATAGTTAAAAATGACAGCTGTAGATAAGCTTATCTAAAGTTGCTGTTGAAATGTTTACCCATATATATATATATATAAGAAAAATATTTTTAGTTGAGATATATTTGTCTCCGGTCACCCAAAATTACATCATTTTATTTATTATTTCCTTATATTAATTGATTCGCCTTTGAATGATTATGATTCATTTTTTCTCTCTCCCTTTATATACACACACATGAGAAAGGTACGTTTAGTATTCTTTATATCTCTTTTCAATCCTCTCTCTTCTCTTATACACTCCCACATATGCACCTTACACTTTCGTTTCATGCACCTTTTTCTTCTAACAACAAGTTAGGTGATCATAAGAAGAATTGGGTCAACACTCAACAGCAACAACCTACGCAAGAAGGAATTCCCTTCCCTTTTAGAAATTACCTGCAGTTTGCAGCATTGTCCAGCATACTCATGCTGCCTCTATATATGGTAGGGATCGAGCCGTATCCTGGGGCTGAAAGCGCCTCAAAATTTATAGAATTTCATTAAAGCTGCGGTTTGATACCCGTGTGTCACTACGTTTCTAGCTGTATTGGAATAATAATATAATAATTAATTAGAAATTTTTTTAAAAAAATATTATAACAAAAATTGGCCTTAATACTTACATAATCAATGATGAATCTTACGAGTGTTATCACTAATTACTTTATAGCCATTTTATATATTTATATAATTACTTCCTAGGCATTTTATATTTGAAAGACATCATTTTTTTTATTATCAATATTACCAATATTTATCTCAATATATATAACTATACAATAGTAGCGGAGGCAGATCTCTTTAAAATGTGGATCAAGAATGAGCCTTTTTATAATTTTTGGTTGCAATGACAGATGTAGGCTTGTAATCACCTCTTACAAATTACTCAAATTCCTCGTGAAAGTTAAATGATAAAATTTAGGTATAATTTTTTAAAAAAAAAAAGACTATTGGAATACGCTATTGTCCAAAATATATTGACAGACTTAAATACGTATAATACGGTAGTAGAGTTATATTGACAATTTTTTTTTTTACAAATTTACAATCTACACTATGTCTAACCGGTAATACTCTACTCAAGAGTGTCTTACCGGTCAGACATAGTATAGTTTGTAAGAGTTTGTAAATAAAAAGTTTGTAAATATAACATTTCCCATACGGACATTTTAATATATAGGTGCATAAATTTCAAATATTCCTGATCTTGCTATCATTCTTCCAAGAGTTTCATAAAAATAACATCACTCAATAAAGTAATCTATGGTCTATTTAAGCTATGTAACATTACTAACATAACAGAAGTTGAACATTTTTCTATCACGAAAATGTGGCTTGGCAGGAAAATTTTCTTCCTTCAAGCTCTCTGGTATTTTTCCTCCATTGGAGTTAGTTCCCACAGATTGAATGAATACAAATTTGTTGTGAGTTCCACTTCATCCTAACCATTATGTGCCAATTGCAAAATCAACATAATTTTCAATAATTTTTTCTCTGTTTCCCTCCATACTCTTGTTGCATGAGATTACATGCTATGTAATTCCTCTTGAAGCACATGCAATTTTATGTTTATCTAAGTGATTTCTTAGGCCATGGCTAACAGATTAGTCTATAGTAATAATAGCTAATTTGACTACTTTTGTAGGTCAAAGAAGCTCATTATACAAGACTCTGCAGCACAAAAACAATATTGACTGTGAATGGAAAATTTCCAGGGCCAATTATTAGAGCCTACAAAGGTGAAACAGTATATGTTAATGTTCGTAACAAGGGAAAATTCAATATCACTTTGCACTGGTATAGATTTCTTTACTCCTGGCGTTTTGAAGTTATATGGGAAACAAATGAAAACAAATTAATTTTAGGACTTTGTAACTGATTTGTGGACAGGCATGGAGTTAAGCAGCCAAGTAATCCATGGTCAGATGGCCCTGAATACATCACTCAATGCCCCATAAAACCTGGAGGGAAATTCAGGCAGAAATTGATTTTTTCTGTTGAGGAAGGAACCGTATGGTGGCATGCTCATAGTGACTGGGCAAGAGCTACTGTCCATGGACCTATCTTTGTCTATCCAAGAAAGGGTACACCCTACCCTTTTCCCAAACCTAATGCAGAAGTGCCCATCATATTAGGTATGAAATCCTTTGCAGTTGTCCTACCCTTTTATTTATTTATTATGGTTACTTATTTGTTTATTATTTTTGTACATAGGAGAATGGTGGAAGAGTGAAATCAAGGATGTCTATGATGAATTTATTAGAACCAGAGGAACTCCAAATGATTCAGATGCTATCACTATAAATGGTCAACCTGGTGACCTGTTTCCTTGCTCAGAATCAAGTAGGCATTAAAATTCAATTTCACAAGCACTAGCATATTATGGAACTGATATGTTCATATTCATGGATCATGGAAGGAAAAACTAACTATTTTGTAATTTTAGACATACGTATTTTGATTTCATAGTCACTAATTCGAGCATATTCTTTGAATTTCAGAAACATTCAAGTTAAATGTACATCATGGCAAGGCTTATCTTCTGCGCATTGTCAATGCTGCAATGAATCTGGTTCTTTTTTTCTCTGTTTCAAAACACAACCTCACGGTTGTTGGTGCTGATGCCAGCTACACTAAGCCATTGACAAGAGATTACATATGCATTTCTCCAGGACAAACGGTGGATGCATTGTTGTATGCCAACCAAGTTCCTGATAACTACTATATGGCTGCAAGGGCATATTCAAGTTCACCTCTAGTTGGCTTTGATAATACCACAACCACAGCTAGGCTTCACTACTCGGGAAATTATACTCCAACTTCATCTCCTTCATTACCTTATCTTCCTTACTATAATGATACAAATGCAGCTTTTGACTACTATCGTAGCATTAGGGGCTTACCTGAGACATACCCTTACAAAGTCCCTATTAATATCACCACTCATATAGTTTCCACCCTTTCTGTTAACACACTCCCATGCCCTGAAGGCCAAACCTGTGAGGGACCAAATGGTACACGTCTTGCTGCTAGCATGAACAACATAAGTTTTGAAGCCCCCAGCATTGATATCCTAGAAGCCTATTACTACCATATCAATGGGGTGTTTGGTAGGGGATTTCCCAGTTTTCCTCCTTTGGTATTTAACTTCACCGCAGAATATTTGCCTTTAATCCTTGAGATCCCAAAGCGAGGAACTAAGGTTAAAGTTATTAAATATGGTTCAACAGTGGAAATTGTTTTCCAAGGGACAAACTTGGTTGCTGGGATAGACCATCCTATGCATCTCCATGGAACCAGTTTCTATGCTGTTGGATATGGGTTTGGAAATTTTGATAAACACAAGGACCCCATGAAGTACAATCTCATTGACCCTCCTCTTATAAATACAGTGCTAGTGCCTATAAATGGCTGGGCCACCATTAGGTACAGGGCTGGTAACCCAGGTATGTGACATGGAAAACTTGTTCATTTTTAATTGCTGATTTCCATTTTCATTTTCTATGCTCACGACTCACTGTTGTTGCATGAATTTGTAAACTCAATTTTAGGAGTGTGGTTTATGCATTGCCATTTTGACCGCCACCTCTCTTGGGGTATGGAGACAGTGTTTATTGTGATGAATGGAGAAGGACCTGATGAAAAATTACTACCTCCACCTGAAGACATGCCACCATGTTGAAGAATATTTTGGACTTCCCTGTGATGAAAAAATGTGATCAACATTGCCACTACAGAATTGTTTTATCTTATGTTTTAGGAAGGCTTGCATTTGAAAATATGATAAGTTAAAGTTGTACCTTTTACTATTTTAATAAAATTTCACTGTTTTTATGTTTCTGCCATTCCATCAGTGTAACATCCCCGGCCTCGAGCCGGTTCAATTAACATGCATATGATACTTAACAGAAACAGCGGAAGACTTAACTTACAAAAATACGAACTAACTTTTTCTTTTTCTTTAATCCTTTTTCACATGACATATGACATTGCATACTTCTTCTAATTTAATTCTTATTTTACGGGGACGAAAATCGGACAGAGTAACCTCTGTAAATCGGACAACTGGGGATTTTCCAATCCCACTCTCAAGAGTTCCTGATAGACAGTTTAAACAATATATATTTCCAGAAGTACCAGTCATGCAAAGATACTCAGATACCCATCTATGGGCGCATGCTGAACTTGGCTCCGTGCCACAAATCTAATAGCATGCAATCCAATACATAACATAACTGAATACTACATAGTCATATCATCATGCCTGAATACATAAATGTACATGTATCGAATATGAACACTATGCAACAATACATCTTTTCCAAAAATACGTCTAAAACAAATAGTAGCATCCGACCACCCAGAACTCCATATCCTCATACTAGTACCTCTAGCCACGGTTAGTGTCCTTGTCCCATGAGGCTCTTCAATTAACTGTGTTCCTGAAATCATATCCCCAAACGGGGTTAGAGACGAATCTCTAGTAAACTCCAGGTTTATGGAAAACCCTCCATACCCTGGGCTCACTTCCTGCATGACAATCAGATACATAATATACAAAACATCATATAAGCAATTATCATAACTGAACAAAGCATATATACATATCTTATCAAAGACAAACTCAGTCATTCCCAAGGGATGACCCCAAGCGAAAATCAACACACGTAACAAATATCTTTTACAAAAATCATCACAATACTCACATCAAAACAAAACGTGTTATATCAGAGACGTACGTAATTGTTCCCAAGGGATGACCCCAGGCGGAAATCAACGTACGTAACAAATATCATTTACAAAATCATCATACATATCCCATAAAACATGTCATATAATCAAATATCATAACTAAACAAAACATATACACATATCTTATCAGAAACGTACGCAGATATTCCCAAGGGAGGACCCCAAGCGGAAATCAACGCACGTGTTCCCAAGGGAGGACCCCAAGCGGAACCAGAACATATCAGAGGCGTACGCAGTCATTCCCAAGGGAGGACCCCAAGCGGAAATCAACGCACGTGTTCCCGAGGGAGGACCCCAAAGCGGAACCAGAACATATCAGAGGCGTACGCAGTCATTCCCAAGGGAGGACCCCAAGCGGAAATCAACGCACGTGTTCCCGAGGGAGGACCCCAAAGCGGAACCAGAACATATCAGAGGCGTACGCAGTCATTCCCAAGGGAGGACCCCAAGCGGAAATCAACGCACGTGTTCCCGAGGGAGGACCCCAAAGCGGAACCAGAACATATCAAAGGCGTACACCATCAGTCCCGAGGGAGGACCCCAAAGCGAACATCCGGGTACTATACAATCAATGGCCAGATATTGTTACACAAATCATATTACAGAAGTCATATCATAACAAAACATATCATATTAACACATATCAAAGTAAATACATCAAAACAAAACATATCATATTATCATATAGCTCTATATGAATGCATCTATATCATATATCTCATACATATCATACAACCTGACCACAGTCCGTACACTATGGCGGAACACAAAGTAGGAGCGAACCCCATAAACATAGAGCTTACCTCTTGGAGCTTTACAATTTGCTTACTTGAAGAACAAGCTACTTATCATGCTCCACGAGAATCCAAACGTTCACAGTCCCTAGGTACACCTAGAGAAGGAATTCAACACAAAACTCAATAAAATGATATAATGCCATGTAAATATACAAGACACACACTTTATTGTTTATTTTCTTTTTACTTAATCATATTAAGTCATGAGTGGGTGGTTCTTTGTTCAATAAATCCCCACAAAATTTCACACATTCACTTAGTCTTAGGATAGTCCCAACTTAAGGCAGAATGCCCATTACAATGGAGCTATAAGATTTCTCTTTGTCTAGTGCCTAAACCCAAGCTTAGCCACCTATATAAATTATTTTACGCATATAAGTGTTCTCACTTTGCGAAATAATATCTCCGAACATATACCTCCTTTGAAAATGGCTAAAACTCATTTTAAGGTCATACAAAGGAGCTACCTTATTTTCTTTTTTATTTCACCAAAGCGAAGGTCCATACACCTTAGAATATTATTCCACGCATAAAAGTATGCTCGATTTGTAAAACAGTAACTCATAGCACATACTTCCTTTGTAAATGGCTAAGAGGCACATAAAGGAATTCATGCCAACTTCATGATTCCAATGCTTTAGTCCATCAAATTCAAGCTTATCACACACCTCTAATTCAAGATTCATTAATTCATATATATACGGTACTGTTCATCTCTACAATACTATTCATGTATACGTCACTATTCACGTATACAACACTATTCAAAAATATGGTATCTTTAATTTTTCAGATACATTTTCACCGTTAAAATTCTCATCTAAACATTTTTCTCAACATGAGCTAAACCTGAATCAAGCTCTAACATGCTCAATCAAACCAAATTTTCAAAATGAAACCATAAATTCAATCTTCATAAAAACATGAAAAGGAAGGGAATTTCTTACCACAATGCACTCTAAAACAAAGGAGAGATGAGTATCTAAGCTCCCATGGCCTCAAGCTCCATCAAAATCCATCTTTTTCATGAAATTCGAAATCTTTGGAGGAGGAGATCTCTCTCTACAGTGAAACCCACCCAGAAATACTAGTACCAATGGATTCCTCTCAAAATTTCTCACAAGTTTGGCTTTGGAACGAAGTAATTTGGAGGTCTCTAGCTCAAGTTATGAATTTTGGAAGATTTCCATCAAAATCCTTTTCTTTTCTTCATTTTCATGCTCTCTGTCTCTGCCTCCCGTATAAGTCACGAAATGAGAATGAGAATAGTGACTCCCTAGTCACTTAAGCAAGTTCATTATACCAGCGGGTATAAGTTCATCTATCTACCCACCTCTATTCATTATCAAACTTTACCCAATAGACTAGAATATTTTTCTAGTCACGTTTTTATTTTATTTTCACTTTTTGGATAACTTTATTTACCCGCATTTTTATCCCTTAACTGCCATTTTAACTCTCTTTTTCACCAAAGGTGACTTTATTTCTTTTACTTCTAATTATTCTTCAATATTAAATCCACAATTACTAGTGAGGGTTATTATAATCAGCATTACCTATTTCAATCTAGAGTACCCTTTAAGATTTTGTTTTAACTGTTAGTCAATTCGAATTTGTTTGTTTAAAGGAAAAAATATTTTGCTTTTATTGTAGAAATTTATTTTCTGCCACATTCATATAAAAATGAGTTTCTTACATTGTAAAGAGAAGAGAAAAAAAAAATTAGTGGGACCCACTTATTTATATGTGAGTGGTAGAAAAAAAATTTGTGTGGTAAAATCAGAAACATTAAGATCTTTTAACAATAAGAAATAATATTCTCAATTTAGTGTTAGTCACAACTAACATAAAAATAAAACATTATCAGATGTTATTTCCACTGGTTGTTAAGTGCATAATCATACAAGTAGTTACACTTAAATTTAACTTAAAAAATGAAGTGGACAACTTACCTTCTATAATTAAATTCATTAAATCTTACAAGTGCCATTTATTAATCATTAATATGCAAAAGGTCGTTATTAATAATTAATGGTTGATTTGCATTATTTTGTGTTTTCTATTCCATTTATATTTATATATGTAGTTTCACCACCAAAGAAGAAACATATTCAGATGTTTGGTTGTTAAGTGCATAATCATGCAAGTAGTTACAAGTAAATTTAACTTGCAAAAATGAAGTGGACAACTTGCCTCCGATAATAGAATTCATTAAATTTTAGAAGTGCGCCATTACACATTTTAATTTCAATACTCAATTAACTCTTCCCGTTTTAGATATCAGATTTCATTTTCAATCTAACAACTCTCCACTTAGTCTTTAATTTAATTCTATTTCTTTGTCACCTTTCGTATTGAGTTCAACAAAAATATTATTCCTTGTTTCTATTTCTTTTCTTTTAAAAAACACAACCCCCAAGGCAAGTAAACGATCATTTTCTAAAATAATGTATTGCTACTCTAGAGTTTTTGGTGATAATTGTTATTAACAATCTTGTAATGTTAATTGTTAATAGGCCTCTAATCAAATGATAATTGTTAATAGGCCTCTAATCAAGTTTTTGGTATTGACATTCCAAGATTTGCCAAACTGGTTCTTGGAAGATATTTGCTGCTTTTTCAAATATAAGACAAAACTCGAGAATGTAAGAAATTGTAGTTCCATAGCGAAATGAAAAAACTCCAAAATATTGCTATGAAAATCAATGAATCAATGAACTTAGTTTATCTTAAAGAAAAATGGTAATTAGTAATGTATTATATTATAAAAATAATTAGATAAATTTGTAAATATAAATATATACTAACTCATTTTATTTGAAAAAATTCATACTGTATTATTAATTAGGTGATGGAGACGAAATTGTTTCCCTCAAAGGATGTACTATGCTATGTAGCACCGATACTGACACGGGACACGTGACACGATATGATACGACACTCCGACATGTTAATTCTAAAAAATGTTAGATTTCGACACGTTAGAACACGTTTTGATATTAAATAATATTTTTAATTTATGTAGTATATATTATATTTAATATTCAATAATTTAACAAAAAAATGAATATAAACTTATAATATTCATAAATTTTGCAAAGAAACATAAAATATCCCAAATATTTATATTAAACTCAATAAAATGGTAATCGTAATCCAACGAATCTAATAGTTGAAACTAAAAACTTAATGCAACTTAACCTTTGAATCATTTTTTGAATTTCTATAACACATGTTAGAGTGTCGGGAAGTGTCAGAGTGTTCGAGAGTGTCAAAAAGTGTCGGACATGACACGTCAGAATTTTTGAAGTGTCTGTGCTTCATAGGTAGTATGTTAAAGTGTAACAGTTATTTATGAAGATTAGGTACAAATCTAAGCTCAATGAAAAGTCAACGAGAGTGGTCTCTCACGCAAAGGCTTTGGATGGAGTGAATTCAGAAGCTCAATAACTTTGTAATTGCATGTAAAAGGCGCTTCAGCAATGGCTAAACCTAATGGTAAATGATAGAATGAGTGGTAACCATTATGTCCTTGTGGGCTCCACTAGGTAAGAGAAAAGTATACTCGCTTGATACATGAGATGTGAAGTGTGCTGTGTAGAAAAACAAGATCTTCTCTAAATATCTCACTTTAGGAATGTAAAAGTATAACCTGTTATATGAACCTCAATAATCGACCTAATGAATTGGACTAAAGTGACCGGTCCAGAACATACACTAAGATGGTAGCCAAAAAAGAGTAGAATTTTGTAAAAGAGTACAAGGAACTAAGTAAGTTTATAATTATATATTTTTATGTATTTACTGGTGTTTATGATTTTTCCTTGTTATAACTTGCACCAATAATTTCCACGACAATGCATTAAGGGAGGAACTATATCCCTTAGCTTTCAAATCGTAGATTACTAAAGAAAGCACCTAGTGTGTTAGTAAACTAAAATTAAATGAAGGCAATAAATGAAGGGACGGTAAATTGCATTAACATATGGCACGAATTGAATTAAAAAAGAGTTATAAACAAAAGAATAAAGGCCAAGAAATAAAGCATAAGAACAAAGAGATGTGATTTGTGTTGAATTGATGGTTATATGTTTTCTTCACTTCTTCATGCCTTTAAACTAGTCCGGAGCCCCACTTATCCTTTCCGCCACCATAAATATCATATTTATCTAAGTTTTTTTTTTATTAATATTTTTATCGGACAATTGATTCGAAAAAACTCTTCCTATCAAAATTTTAATAAAATTACGGTTAAACTGCAACAGTCTGTACCAGTTAATTTAAAAGTTTGGTGATTATCTAAGCTACTCTCTTTTTTATTATACAACATTTATCTTCATTTTATTTTGCCTTAAAAAATAAAAGAAGTTCCAATTGTTGGGTTTGCTCTTTTACTAAAGCTCAAATGGGCTATTAGTATGAGAAGAGCTCAATGAGCTAGGGTTTTTTGGAACCCACATAAATTGTACTACTTAAGTCATCAGCTTCCTAGGTCTTTTGAGAGAAAGAGGCAAGCTTAGATCTGTATAGTGCCCACACACTTGTCTTTCCTCCTCGAGATATAGTTTAGAAAGTTTACCACAATAGTTCGTGAGTTCGTGCTGTAACGTAAATGACTCAAGCGTGTGCAACATCATCATCTCACATCTGTTCCATCAAAGAGGTAATTGATAAAACCATGATGATCCTTATACATTCAAATCACAATGGTCTCATACGCTTCCGCAGATACAATTGCTCCTACAATTGGTATCAGATCGCCACTGTTTTGACACGTTCATGACCTTCCGGTGGCCGATTTGAGAAACCAACCACATCACATGAAAGAGGACAAAATGACAAGCACAACGGTGGTCGGAAGTACATCGCGAACGGAGGCCGAACGCGCCCTCACGCGCCGCCTAAAGTGGCTGCATGTGGGCCTCACTCGCCGGTACAAAATCGGCGCGTGGAGGCGCATGGCAGCTCTGATTGCAGTATTTTCGGAGGCGACAGATTCGTCTCTTCAAGGTGGTCCTTCCCCTGGATTTTCGTGCTGAGATGAGTTCGAGTGACGGCGCAGTAGACGTGACGGCTAGGGTTCCTGAAAGTTGACTTAGGGTTTCTCGCCAAAAGTTGGTATTTTGGACCTTTGGGCCCATGGTTACCATAAAGAGGCTTGAATCAGAAACTATGGACTATAAGGAAAGGAGCAAATCAGTGGCAAAAGTTTTCTATTTGATTACTTTGTAATTTTATTTTTTTAGGAAACCATGGATTAAGGTTTTTATTATAATTAAGGCATAATAAAAACCTTAATTGTATGATTGGATGAAATATATGATTGATAACATGATTTATTGCGATAACATGCCATATAGAATAGGCGGTGCCATATTGTTGCATAACTTGTAAAATTACATGAGCATAGTAGCTATTATGTCTTCAGCTTCAGCGACTAGTATGATAGTTATTATGGGATTATTTTGATTTTAAATTATCCTAAAAAAATTAATTAATAATTATTATGATTTTTGTTAAAAAATCTAGATTAATAATTGAATTAATTAATTTTGGACAATTAAGATCAAGACAAATGATCTTTAAAATTTCCTAGGAGAATTCTTTTATTTTGCGAGTATTTTGTGGGTCTACTAAAATGGTCATGTGTTAAACACATGCTGCATACCAGAATCATGATACCATGATTGTGTGAAGCACACGCTGCCTATCATGACCGAATTTTAGGACCTTAATGATTTCAAATTCAGATAAGCTAAGTGATGCACATTCATCGGCGCTCTTACTTACATAGTTTTTGAAATCAAACAAAGGTTACTCCCAAATTAAATAAAATCTTGGAAATTGGAAAATTCTAAAATTTTAAAAATATTGAATGGGTGAAGATTTTAAATTAAGTAATTAATTTTAAAACCTGCGGGCTCTATCTACGGGTTTATTAGTGAGATGATTATTGCTGAAGCCCCATTGGATAAGAATAATTAGATCTCATTAGATTAAACCTTAATAATTTCAAATTTTAGTAAAGTATTGTACGGCCCATCGTCGGCAATACTTGGATACTAAGGATAATTTCAAAATTAAACAATGGTTAATAACATTCAACTTTGGTAAAATTGTTAACCTCCCATCGAGGCTCTGACAATGGCACCGAAGACCCAAATAACAATTTTAGTTTTTATAAGTGTCTTGCCCATCGTAAGCCTTGTAAAGATAAACTGAAGGATTGTTAACAATAAAACAAAAATTAGTTATTAGAATCTACTTGCGATTAATTTGTTTATTGCAATTCATGTTTGTAATATGTGTGCTTTGAATATTTTTCAGAAAATGTCGTCTTTCAATCCTTTAGCTACTATCTTGAGTCGAAAACCTATGGATGGTAAAAACTACAAACAATGGAAAACTAATTTGGATATTGTTCTCCAATTTGAAAAGCTCGATTTTGTCCTGACTACTCCAAAGCCAGCACAACCTGCTGAAAATGCGTTTAAGGCAACAAAGACCCATTTTTCAAATTGGGAGAAGGCAAATGTTTCAGTTCGCTGTTACATTCTGGCCAGTCTCGCCAATCATCTGCAGGAACAAGTGAGCATGATTGAGAGTGGAGCAGAAATGGTCAAGACTCTTGATGACATGTTTGCTACTTCTAGTAGTTCAGCAAGGCAAAATGCACTGACTGCGGTTACCAAGACCATTATGACTGGAGGAAGTGTGTGGGATCATTGTTTGGCAATGATAGCAAACTTCAAGCAAGCGGATAACAATGGAATCAAATTTGTCGAGGAGGTGAAAGTTGACCTGCTTCTACAATCACTTCCTGAATACTTCAACCAGTTCAAAATAAGTTATAATATGAACAAGTTGAATATGGATCTTACTCAGCTGATGCATGAGCTTGAGAGTGCTGATCCGTCTCTGGTCAAGCAGGAAAATGCATTTTTTGTTGCTGAGAGTTCTGTTAAACCTAAGGGTAAACCCAAGAGGGGTAACAAGAAAAGAAAAAGAAGAGATAAGGTATTCCAGTTGCCAAACCTGTTGCAATGAAGCAGCCAAAAGGTAAGTGCTTCGAGTGCCAAAAAAATGAGCATTGGAAGAAAAATTGTCCACGTATGAACAAACCAGGTATGGGCAATTTACTTGTGATTGAGGCTTGTTTAGTGGAGAATTACAATGATAAATGGATCATTGATTCAGGAGCCACTAACCATGTTTGTTACTCTTTGCAGTGGTTCAAGCATAGTTTGCCCATCAGTCAAGGACAAAGAGTGTTGTAGCTTGCAAATGGGGAGCTTGTGTCTGCACTAGCAGAAGGACAAGTTGTTTTATCGTTTGATAATAATAGAACTTTGGTTTTACAAGATTGCGTATTTGTTTCGGATATTAAAAGGAATTTAATTTCTGTTAGTTGTTTGGTTAAACATGGTTTGACAGTTCAGTTTAATTCCTCAGTTTCAATAAGAAGTTCATCTTCGTTTATATGTTCCGGTACATTATTTAATGGTCTATATTTCCTTAGTCCTATACCTCATGAAGTTAATCATGTTGAATTAGGAGATGATGAGCATATTCATTCATCTAAGAAAAGAAAGGTTTTAAATGAAACTTATCTTTGGCATTTACGATTGGGTCATATTAACTCAAATAGGATACAAGGTTTGGTCAAGAGTGGGATTTTAAAATCCCTGGTTTTTGAACTAATACCAGTATGCGAATCTTGTTTGGAGGGTAAAATGACTAAGAGGTCTTTTAAGGCCAAAGGAAATCGTGCCACACTTCAACTGGAATTGGTACATACTGATGTATGTGGACCAATAAATGTCCAGGCCAGAGGCGGGTATGAGTATTTCATCACATTTACTGATGATTACTCGAGATTTGGACACGTGTATCTGATGCGTCACAAGTCTGAAGCTTTTGGAAAATTCCAAGAGTTTAATGCTGAGGCAGAAAAGCATCTTGGTGTTCAAATCAAGACTCTTCGGTCTGACCGAGGTGGTGAATACTTATCTAGAGAGTTCAGGTCTTACCTGATCAAGGAGGGGATAGTTTCACAATTATCTTCTCTAGGGACACCCCAGCAAAATGGAGTAGCTGAAAGGAGAAATCGAACCCTTTTAGAATTGGCAAGGTCTATGCTCAGTTATTCGTCTCTATCTGATTCATTCTGGGGATATGCCTTGGAAACTACCATGTACTTATTAAACTTAGCTCCATCAAAATCTGTTACAAAGACATCCATAGAATTATGGAAAGGGTGCAAGCCCACTTTAAACCATATTCAGATTTGGGGTGCTCTGGCATATGTCTTACAATAGAAGCCAAACAAGATGGACTCTCGTACAGAAGTGTGCATGTTTATAGGCTATCCTAAAGGAATTAGAGGTTGGTTATGTTATAGTCCAAAAGATAAGAAAGTCTTAGTAAGTACTCATGCAACTTTCTTAGAGGAGGACTATAAGGAAAATTACAAGCCAATGAGTACGGTTATTCTTTATGAGCTTGTCTCAGATCAAGTTTTACCTCAACCTCAGGTGGTTCCAGCTTTTGTTACTATAATTGTTCAAAGAAGGGAATATATATCTCAAGGTGACAAACTCTCAAGGTGAACATATACAGGAACCAGTTGAAACAGAGGAACCAGAAGTTCAGCATGATGATCAACAAATGGAACATGTAGAAATGCAAGAACTATTTACAAAATCAAGAATTGGTTAACCCACCAAATGGGGGTCATCAAGAAATTGTTGATCCACTAAACTTGGATCCTCCTGTAGATGCACAACATCAAGTGCGACAAACTCTTAGTGGGAGATTGGTTCATAAACCTGCAAGATATCTCTTGTTGGGCGAATCAAATCAGGAAGTCACTATTGAAAAGATGGTGATCCCACTAGTTATGACGAGGCACTAGTAGATGTTGATGCTCACGAGTGGCTAAGAGCTATGAACTGTGAGATGGAATCTATGTATTCAAACTCAGTTTGGTCTTTTGTAGAAGCACCTAAAGGGATAAAACCCATAGGGTGTAAATGGATCTGTAAGAGAAAGATAAGATCGGACGAGAAGGTTGATACCTTCAAAGCTAGATTGGTGGCAAAAGGGTACACCCAAATAGAAGGTGTAGACTATGAAGAAATCTTTTCGCCGGTAGCCATGCTAAAGTCCATCCGATTTCTCTTAGCTATTGCAGCAAGTCTCGATTATAAGATTTGGCAAATGGATGTCAAAACTGCTTTTCTAAATGGTAATTTGGAAGAGGATATCTATATGCAACAACCAAAAGGGTTCATAGCAAAAGAGCAGGAACACATGGTATGCAAGTTGCAAAAGTCTATTTATGGACTCAAACAAGCATCCAGATCAAGGAACATTAGGTTTGATCAAGCCATTAAATCTTATGGTTTTGAGAAAAGCCCTGATGAACCATGTGTGTATAAAAGGATCCAAGGCAGTGCAATATCTTTTCTAGTGCTTTATGTAGATGATATACTCCTTATCGAAAATGATTTGGAGGTATTGTTAGGCATAAAAACCTGGCTTAGCAAGCATTTTGATATGAAGGATCTTGGGGAAGCCAATTATATTCTTGGTATTAAACTCTTACGAGACCGTAAGAATAGGATATTGGCATTGTCCCAAGGTACTTACATTGACGAAATCCTTGCCAGGTTCAGCATGGAGAAATCCAAGAGGGGTATTTTACCTTTCAGACATGGGATTCATCTCTCTAAGGAGCATTCCCCTAAAACTCCTGAACAGAGAGAACACATGATTAGGATACCTTATGCTTCGGCAGTAGGTAGTCTCATGTATGCCATGTTGTGTACCAAACCAGATATCTTCTATGCAGTGGGAGTAGTAAGTCGATACCAATCTGATCCTGGAGAGGAACACTGGATAGCGGTTAAACATATACTCAAGTATCTTCGGAGAATGAGAGACTATATGTTGGTCTATTCTAGTGGGAGTCTTGAAACCATTGGTTACACGGACTCAGATTTCCAAGGAGATATTGACTCAAGAAAGTCAACCTCAGGATATGTGTTCACTCTTAATGGCGGCGCCATTTGTTGGAGGAGTATCAAACAATCGTGTGTGGCTGACTCTACCACAGAGGCTTAGTATGTGGCTGCATCAAAAGCTGCAAAGGAAGTCGTATAGTTGAAGAAGTTCCTTTCGGATCTTCAAGTGATACCGGGAGCTAGTCGTCCCATCACTCTTTACTGTGATAACATTGGGGCAGTAGCACAATCCAAGGAACCGAGGTGTCAAAAAAGGCAGAAACACATAGAGAGGAAGTACCACTTGATCCGAGATATCATTGAAAGAGGAGATACAGTGGTAACCAAGATAGCATCGGAAGAAAATCTTGCTGACCCTTTTACCAAGAGTTTGTTTGAACGTGTGTTCGAGAGGCATGTTACATCCATGGGTCTCAGGAGGGTTCCAAATTTGTTGTAGCTTTAGGAGATTGGATTTTACTTTGTTAATTTTATGATCTTTGAGCAATATATTATGACATTGTAATTTTTTCTGAATATTTTTAAGGAGGTATTATTCATTTATTTAGCACACTATTTACAAACATCAAGGTCCGGATCAAATTGTGGAGTATATGATCATATGGATACGTTCATGGAGGACATGATCATAGGTTCTCACAATTGATGAATAGATTCATAGCTGTTAAATAAAGTTGGGCACTTTATTTAGGCTGCAATATTTTATGAAATGGTTTTGTCCGAATCATTGTAAAATATTGGTGTGAATTAACATTTACATTGAAAGGATCAAGGAGATATTTGATTAAGGTTGTTTTTCTGTCATAAGGTATCAAATCTCCAGTTAACTATAGTTATGTAATTTCTCTTAATCATGAGTTTATTATAAATAGGTAATCAAATAGTTTTCATTCTTTGATTTACTAAGGGTGAGGTTCGATCTATTGACGGCCAATAACTCGGTATTTTGGGAGTGAGATTATTTGATTATCGGTATTTATGAGTTAAACAAGATGGAATTTGTAGAATATGTCCCTTGATATATTTCGGTACTTGGATATTAAAGACATTGGCCAGTGCATGTAATCCATTAGAAAAACTATCATAGTCAAGGGAATAAATAATTGATTGAGTTACAGAAAACTTGTCAATCATTTATAGAAATTCTACAAAGGGGCGATGCATATTCATGTTATAAGTGAAAGAAAATGGCCTTGCAGGCCGTAGGCATGTGAGGATGAAAACAAAATTTTCAAAGCGGAATTACACATACCATATCAAGAAACATGCTTTAGGACATGGATGTTACCTTGTTTGCTTTCCAAAACTTGAAGATGATCAAGGTGAGGCTTGAAGATACAAGCCCTCTAATGTTGATCCACACCACCCTTTGTCAAGACGGAAGAACTCTTCTTCAAGGCCACCAACGAACACCAAGGGAGGCAAGCTAGGCGTCCCTAATGGAGAGGTAGGAGGCAAGGTTTCAAGGTGTTTAGTTGAGTGAATTTTCAGCAAGAAAAAACACAAAAGTGGCGCATGGAATTCACTTAGAAAGTGTTAGGTAATTTTCAAAACTCTCTTAAGAAAAACCTCACAAAAGGATGACCAAAGGAGATGAGAGAATGAGTGAATAAAATCTAATTTCTTCACTAAAAAATCAGCCCTACGTAGCGCACACTAGGAGAGGAATGAGTGGAGTTGTTGCAAATCAAATCTTGCCAACAACCTCCTATCACATCCTCATGATATCAAGTGCATATCTCAACAAAAATCTGACTTAACAACCATCATATGGCCAGCCATATGGTGCGCCCCATTCAGCCTCAAAGCAGTCCAGATACGTTGAGCAGTTGCATTCAAACTTGAACCAACTCACTCACTTATTCTCTCAACAAACCAAATCTGATTGGAGCTTATTTGGCTGATCTTATGACCATCACAAGACCCCAAAATCAGCGCCCCAAATCAGCCTTGGATGATGCTCAAAGATCTCCTCTTGATACTTGGAATTTGTTCCAACAAGATCTTACCTTATCCTTTTGT